CAGCGCCACGTGCAGCCACCGAGATCCACAACTCCGAGCAGAGCTCTAAAAAAAAAAAAAACTTTATTTGTTAACCACTTTCTCCAGTCTGTGCTCAAACAGGTTATTCCAAACCACAAAACAACCAAGCGCCGCATGCTCGTGTTCAAAAGCAGGAGAACACATGAAGGGGCTGGCCAGGATTATTTAAATGGCTGAGATCTTTACTAGGCATTTTTTTATTATTATTATTTTTTCTGCAAAATAATGTTTACATACAGTTAAAAGGAAACGATTTTGGTTTAGCACCACTCATTTTCCGAGGAAAGAGAGGGAATTAAGCAGGCGAAATTCTATATAAGAGGAAAAAGAAAGGTAAATAATAATAATAATATTAATAATGCAGGTTTCATTGCTGGTCTGCTTCGTCGTCTTCATTTTGGCCAAAACTTCAGTATTTGCCAATTTTCACCTTTCGAGATACTGTTTTAAACTGTTAAAAACGCAATTCCCTCGTTTCAATCGCGAATACGCTCTACTCTAGGGGCGAACACTCCGGGCACAAGTTCATGCAGGAACGGGCGGACTCTGCTCTAGTACATGGAAAGCGCCTGCTCACGCATTACTACTCTTTTCTTTTTCATCCGTCGGTTCTGAAACCAAATTTTAACTTGCTGATCGCTTAAATTCAGTCTGTTTGATAGTTCTTTCCGCTTCTGTCGGTTAATAAACTCATTGAGGAGAAACTCGTTTTCCAACTCAGCAATTTGTTGTTTTGTGTAAGGTTTCCGTTTCTTCCTCGATCTCCCCTGGGTGGGACACCAAGGCAAACCTACAACAAACACGTCGATAATTTAGTATACGAGATTTGTGCATTAAGAAAATATGGAAAAATAATTAAAATAATTAAAAATATAAAGATAAAAATGGAAGACAAAGGGGCACAGCTATTTCGGTAAATCTGGTAAAGCACATCTGACAGCACAATTCTATCTAGCTACTAGACGCATTAAGCTCTTGTCATTTCGAATAGATAACGGGAAGGTTTAGAAAACAATTACAGACATCTTTTAGAAAGCAAGTAGGTCACTTCTAGGTAGAGCGAGAGAATTAAGGCATACCATCCTGCACGGAAGGTCTGAGGCATGACTGGACTGCTGCGGGCTGAACTGTCAGGTTCAAGTTGACCGAATTCTTGATGTCCTCCTTTAAGCTGGAAGCACAGGAATTCACTTCAAAAACAGCAGCAGAGCCGTGCAGACCTCTCTGCAGGCTCGAGTGGTCATACTTGACGGGCTTTAGGTTGGCTGCATGGGGAGCAGTCGGGTCGTTCGCGAAAGATTGCCTCTGCCGGCACCTCTCCTCTTGTTTGGAGCTCGCATCGTGCGCGTAATATTTATTGTTTTCTTCGAGGCACTCCTTGTTCCCGTTGGAGCTGATGCTGATGGGGATGGAGCCGGGGAGGAAGGGCTGCGAGGAGCCGCCGAACGCGTGGCCCGCGGGCTGCGCCGCGCACGAGCTCGCGCAAGTCCAGGGCAGCGAGCTGCGCGGGTAGGAAATGGGGGGCAGAGCCGCCAACTGGCTGCCATTCGCCCGCAAATTGGGGAAGTAAAAGGAATCTGGAGACTGCAAATTCAAGAGAGAACCAACGTAGCCAGATCTGTAGAGACTGCGATCACACATTTCCAACAAAGGACTTCAGCTGTTCCTACAGCAGTATTTAGTTACAACAGGGAATAAGCGGAAAGCCTGAAACGATTGGACGAAACTTTGCAGACAGGTTCTTCAAAGCCGGTAATTTCAGCACCGCCTCCAGCCACCGAGCCGCAGAGTCCCCCCCTTTCTTTCCTTCCCCCCTTTCCTCCCCCCCACCTTTTTTTTTTCTTAAAGTCTAAAGATAACACTTGAAATATGAAAATACCCAACTTGCAAGGGGGAGGGGAAAACATGGTCTCCACTTCTATAAAAGTCGCCACGGCTGGCTGGCAAAGCTGTATGGAGAGAGAGAAGATGAGGGGAAAAACAAACATTAGGGAAATTTTAGAGGCGACGTTGCGGCTTCACCGCAGCGTGTCCCTGGCCCGGCCCAGTCCCTGGCCCGGCGGCTGGGGGCAGTTTTGGGCAGCGAAGCCTCTGCCCGCTCCGACCCGGAGCACAGCGGGCTGCGGAGAGCTCAGCGGGCTCGTCCTGCTGTTCCCAGGCAAAAGCGACCCCTTAGTTCACATATCTGCGTTTCTGCCCCTGTACTGGTCCACACATGTCGTACGTGTGTGTACAGAGCCACTATTTTTTCAGTGTCGTAGGTGCTTTAGTTTGTATTGCAGCGGTGTATCTGCATATGCTTGCAATTAAAATCTTAATTGATCGGATATTAGTGGCCACCCCGCTCCGCCGCACTAATCACTGGGAATCTCTGCGGTTTCCCGAGCGCGACTTCTCTGCCCTTTTTACCTTTCCTCCTCGTTCCAAAACGCGGATAAGATTTTCAACTTAGTGTTTGCATTTTTCTTCTTTTTAAAAACAACAGCAGTTGAGCGTTGTTTGAAAAGTCAAAGCAAATTAAACAAAAATCTCTGAAGAGAGAAAGCGCCCCGGTCTGCTCTGCAGCAGAGCGAGTCTAAGTGTGGTGATGGGCAGGGGAAGGTCTGTTTCAGTTAGCTCCTTCCCTGTTAGCTCCTAAATGTCGCAGGAGGAATTTGTGCCACTTGTGCTTTAGCTTTCCTGGAAGAGAGTGTGCATGGGATTGTTATTTTTTCTTGTTGTTATTGTTGTTAATATTATTATTATTATTATCAGCTAGTTATTTTTTGAGGGTTCAGCCAGGAGCCTGGGCATCTCTCCCAGGGATGCCCTGGGCATTTTCCTTGTAGTTCTGGAGGATGGAAGAAGCCACCTCTGTGAGCATCCTCACAGAGAGAGCTCGTGTTCTTCCCCAAGCCATGTGGGGACATTACTTCATTTAGGGACAAGTCTAGGTCACCTGAACCCAAAGACACAAGCATAAGGAATCTATAATTATAGATAAAGGTATGAAACTGTTAAAAAAAACTTAGATGTTTGAACTCTCCCCGAAAATGACACTTTAGAGAGCAATCAAGGTCAGGGACAGTAGGCGCGGCTGAGGGACACGGCAGTCCCTATCCCAATAGGATATTTTGGACATTTTGTTGTTGTTGATTTTTTTTTTCCGAGCGGGCATTTCTGGCCTCAACCTCTTTTCCAAGAGGGTATCCCCAAGCTCAGCCAGCCCAGGCTCAAGCAGAGTCCAGAATTCTTCATTCTCCTTGCCTCTATTAAAAAATCAAACATGGTTTACAGGTAGGGTTAATTTTCCATGTTATTGTCCTGTTAATCATAGTTTTAATCTGGATTTTGTTTCTAAACCGAGATCAGAGACACTTCTACTCTTGACATTTTCCTAATGAAATTCATCTCTCCATTTAATGGAAATTCAGGGTAAATTCTGCTGTAATTTCATTGCCCTGGAAGAAATCTTTAAATGATTGCTCTCCCCTAGACCACACAGGACCACACAGGCACTGCTGGAGGATATTACTGACCACTGCCTTTAATTTTTATTGTTTGAATTATGTCTACCAATTGAATCTCCCCCTTACTAATTTATTTTTTTTCTTTTTCTTTACCTTTTTTTTTATCCTTTTCTTTTCTCCACAAGAGAACAGATAATACCTTACATCCCGCCCTCAATCGCATTTTACAAAAAAAATGTGTTTTTTGATTCTTGTAAGACACAAGGAACATTTTGTGTTCAAACGAATGTATTTTTCCTCTGCAATAAACACAAGGGATAGATGCAAGTTCTCAGTTCCCGGAAAGAAAGGTGACACTTCAAACTAGGTTTTATGGGGTTAGAAAAAAACTAAAGCTTTCAATTAATTCTCCACTCATCTGTAATTACTAATGAAAGAAAGACAAAAAGACAGACAGAAAGAAAAGACAGAAAGACAGAAAGACAGACAGAAAGACAGACAGACAGACAGACAGACAGACAGACAGACAGACAGAAAGAAAGAAAGAAAGAAAGA